TGGAGCATACCTTCCGAAAGAGAAGCCAAGATCTTGGTGGCTTCCGGCCGTCCGCTTAGGCTTGTAGCTTTTAGGGGCTTTGGGGGGTTTGCAGATTTAGCCCACACGATTTCAGCTTTCAGCAGGGTTTGAGTTTGGACAGCCCAGTAAGAAGCTAGGTCCCCTTTTTCCCTTGTTTGGGGGAGGGCTCCCCTACTAAAACAGACTACCGAAGAAAATGAGTACCCTTATTCTAGCCTCTACTGGAGGACCTATATTTTTGGTGGCTTAGACAACAAGTTGTGTCCTTGTTTGGGCCCATCCACTCAGGAAGTGAGTGCCTCTACTACTTTAATACGGAAAACCCATCAGTTGGATCAAAAAGTGATTCAGTCCGAACATCCCTTGGCAACATGCACCAAAGAGATGGTCCTCCTGTTGGTTTCCCTTTGAAGCACCCAACAGAGCACACCACACCTCTCGGGATCCGAAGGCCTCGAGCGGGAAGGAGGCGTGATGGACCAAAGACGGTGCTTGGTGGCTCGCAGCCATCCGGTCCCTTAGCTTTTTTAGATCTGTTTAGCTTTTTGGATCTGTTTAGCTTTTTGGATCTGTTTAGCTTGAAAAAGCTTTTCAGCTTTTTAGCTTCTTAGATTGTTTGATCTTTTTAGCTTTTTACAAATGGGGGTTTCCATTTGACCCACTAAAAGTTAGACTTTTAGCGGGGGATCTGAGGACAGCCCAGGGTGGGTGGTCTCGCCTTGTTGCAACATGTTTGGGGGTGAACGGTGTCCCTTCCCAGAGGGTCCAAGAACCCCTTGAGTCGGTTTTTCAGCGGCTGAAAGGGGTCAGAGTAGCTTTTTAGGTATTTGGACCCTTAGGGCTGTAAACTCAAGTACCAAAAAAAGGTGCTCACTTTTCTCCGGGTCTGAGAGGATCTGGCGAGACAAATAATTGTTTGACACTTCTGGGCGGTCGATCCTCGCTTCCCCAGACTGGATAGGTCGTTTGCATGGGACTTGTTAATTTCTTTGAATGGCTGTCGCATTTGGATGTATAGCTGTTGATGCACCATCATAGCATACACAGGTCGTGAGCTGTTATTGGTTGGGGTATTTTTATGTTTCACAGCAAACACGGGAAAAAAAAAAAAAAAAAAAAAAAACGGGTGTTTGAAGGCGCTGTTGTGAAGCGCATGTACGGCAACCGCACGTTTTGCACGTGACGTGCCACAAACGCCAGGTGCGGAAAGCTTCTCCGCCGCCGGCAGAGGTGATAGGGGCGCCTGAGGATGAATTGGAGGCCGCCTGCTTTCGGAAGTGTGCAATATGCAGTTGGTTCCGTGAGCATATCCAGTAGTCATGGTCCATTAGAAGGGACATGGGGGCAGGTACTAATTTTCTTCTACAGGGACCAGGGATTTGCTATTTGTTCCATATCCTCATTTTGCCACCACCACCTATGTTGAGCGTGACGTGAAGCGCGCGTGACACAAACGCCAGGTGCCGAAAGCTTCTCCGCCGCCGGCAGAGGTGATAGGGGAGCCTGAGGATGAATTAGAGGCCGCCTGTTTTTGGAAGTGTGCAATGTGCAGTTTGGTTCCGTCAGCATATAAAGTACTCCATGGTCCACTAGAAGGGACACGGGGGCAGGTACTCATTGTCTTCTACAGGGATCGGGATTCGCTATTTTTTGCATATCCTCATTCAGCGACAACCACATATAGTTGACCGTGACATGAAGCGTGCGTGACACAAACAATTGCCAGGTGCCAAAAGCTTCTCCGCCGCCGGCAGCGGTGATAGGGGAGCCTGAGGATGAATTAGAGGCCGCCTGTTTCCGGAAGTGTGTAATGTGCAGTTTGGTTCCGTCAGCATATTCAGTAGCCATGGTCCATTAGAAGGGACATGATGACATGGGGGCAGGTACTTCTTTTCTTCTACAGGGACCAGGGATTCGCTATTTGTTCCATATCCTCATTTTGCCACCACCACCTATGTTGAGCGTGACGTGAAGCGCGCGTGACACAAACGCCAGGTGCCGAAAGCTTCTCCGCTGCCGGCAGAGGTGATAGGGGCGCCTGAGGATGAATTAGAGGCCGCCTGTTTTCGGAAGTCTGCAATGTGCAGTTGGGTTTCGTCAGCATATCCAGTACTCCATAGTCCATTAGAAGTGACATGGGGTCAGGTACTCATTGTCTTCTACAGGGACCGGAATTCGCTATTTGTTCCATATCCTCATTCAGCGACAACCACAGATAGTTGACCGTGACATGAAGCGCGTGACACAAACGCCAGGTGCCGAAGGCATCTCCGCCGCCGGCAACGGTGATAGGGGAGCCTGAGGATGATTTGGAGGCCGCCTCTTCGGAAGTGTGCAATGTGCAGTTTGGTTCTGTCAGCATGGCAAGTAGTCCATTGTCCATTAGAAGAAACATGGGGGCAGGTACTTCTTTTCTTCTACAGGCACCGAGATTGGCTATGTTTTGCATATCCTCATTCAGCGACAACCACATATAGTTGACCGTGACATGAAGCGCGTGACACAAACGCCAGGTGCCGAAGGCATCTCCGCCGCCGGCAACGGTGATAGGGGAGCCTGAGGATGATTTGGAGGCCGCCTCTTCGGAAGTGTGCAATGTGCAGTTTGGTTCTGTCAGCATGGCAAGTAGTCCATTGTCCATTAGAAGAAACATGGGGGCAGGTACTTCTTTTCTTCTACAGGCACCGAGATTGGCTATGTTTTGCATATCCTCATTCAGCGACAACCACATATAGTTGACCGTGACATGAAGCGCGTGACACAAACAATTGCCAGGTGCCGAAAGCATCTCCGCCGCCGGCAGCGGTGATAGGGGAGCCTGAGGATGAATTAGAGGCCGCCTGTTTCCGGAAGTGTGTAATGTGCAGTTTGGTTCCGTCAGCATATCCAGTAGTCCATGCTCCATTAGAGGGGACATGGGGGCAAGTACTTATTTTCTTATACAGGGGTCAATATTCTCATTTTGCGACAACCACATGTTGAAGCGCGCGACACAAGCGCCAGGTGCCGAAAGCTTCTCCGCCGTCGGCAGAGGTGATAGGGGCGCCTGAGGATGAGCTGCAGGCCCTTTTGCCCGGTCACCAGGTAGCAGAGTAGTGTCTGTATGCGGGACGCACCAGTGCATTTGTGTATGTGTGCTTTGCTTTGTGTTGGTCGACGAAACTGCATTCTGAGCCGAATGCCTTAACTTCCATAGTTGCTATAGTACTAAACCTGGATGACTAGGGCTGAAATGCGTCAAAGTACAGCCTTACAAGATCTTACAAGGGTGTTGGGACTCTTTTTGTCTACTTCCGAGGTAGTCCAGCTGCGCTTCCGATACACTTGCCCCACATGGGGTAACTGGTGATAAAAACTACCCGGGCAGGACCGGTTGCTATATAAGGAAAGCTAGCCGGCCGGGCTGACCTGATGTGGTGCTGGTCTGTTTGAGTTTCTTTCTCGCCAATGTAAAATGATGGAGACATTGTTGTATGTCTTCTGGAGCTGATAGCTTTTGAATGACAAGGGGCACATAGAACTCGTTCAAAGGTTCACCGGGAAACCACCAGCAAAAAAAAAGGAAAGCTCTGATTTTCACGGTTCCACACGAGACATGTAAACCAATGCGTGCCAAGTATACGTCAGGCGGCCACAGCAGAAGCGCCCGAGGCGAAGCGGGAGGTGGTTTTTGGGTTGGGTGCAAATTTGGCGTGTTTGTTTGTGTACAAATCAACATCTAAGATACTGGCAAGAAGGTGTTGTGCTGAAACATGCCAAGATGTAAGCCCGAACTCTTTCTGAGGCTCCAAATACCTGAGGAGGTCTCTCAAAAACCAGCCTCAAAAGGCATCAAGGAAGCCTCCGGGCTGGGATAAGAAGCCAACGAGTTTGGATTCGATTCGGTTCCGAATCCTATGAGTTTGACATACCCAATTCAGATCCCGCCGGTATATGCAAGACATGTTCCTTCAGTTTGTGAAGGCGACGCGGCGACGTTTCTGGGTTACGCAGTAAAATGGAACCACTGGGCTCTTAGAAGATCTGCAAGGTCTGTGGTCTTTGTTTAATCAACCGACGTATATATATATATATATATATATATATATATTGACCTTCGAAAAAAGATCGAGCAGATGTGTCCCGCGGTCCCAAAGCCCTTCGATGTCGGTTTTGCCCAAGCGCACTCTTGGAGAAGAATATCCGCACTGAATGGATGGACGACCCCCTATAAGTACCCTTTAGAGGCCTGGACTGAGTCGCTTCACCGGTGGCCGTTGCTTGTTTGTGGCAAATCAGCTTGGATTCGTGGTATGGCTGTGGCTCACAAATGCGTACCCAAAATGGAACCCTGAGAATTGGAACCAAAGACCAAAACCTGCGGTCCAATTCCTGGTGGGTTTATTTTGACCCATACCCGTATATAGTCAACACCATGCGGCAAATCCTGATTGTCCTCTTCTTGGTCGAGATGCTGGGCAAAGAAAACGAGCTCACCACCCTAAAACGAGCGCAAAGCTCTCCTGTTTTTTTCTTGTAGGCTTGCAGATGTCTCCAAGGCCCAGTGGTGTTCAAACTCAGGGACATTGAGCTTCTTAAGAACCCAATAAACCAAAAAAAACAAAAAAACATGATGGACAAGCTACAAAGTATATCCTTCACTGGTGCTTCCGTATTTCGTGTTTGTGAATCATGGTAATTTGCCATGTCATTTTGGGGGGACCCCCCTCCCCCGAAAATAAAGTAGACTAAAAAGGTTGTCGACTCCCAATAATCGACGACCTTCCCGCACTGACCTCCAACCCCCAAAGAAGACATCATATGATGGTTAAGCCATATTCAGAGCTTATTTCCTCTTTATAACCTTCTGTTTTTTTTCTTCTCCCTCAGAGGTGTGTTCCAGGGCTCTGGTGATACAACTGTTGGAATAGGAAGAAACTCCTTTGAACGGTTTTACCAAGGCCTCGAAAAGCCGTTGCCGCCCGAAGGAAGCCCCTGCCATGACGCGGCGGCGCCGGGGCGAGCCGCCAGTCTCAGCCGCAGCCTCATTGCGCTCAACATATGCACCCTTTGGGGAGCATGAATTTGGTAGCATCCTCTAAACGGAAGGTAGTGTTGGGAGTGCTTTGATGAAAACTAATGAGAAACCGCCCATATCGGGCAAATGTTTAAACATAATATATATATATATATATTATATATATATATTATATGTATGCTCCCTCCCACGAACACACTAACGCGTCACTTGACAGGGGGTCCCTTCAACCGAAAATTCATCTTTCAGGTACCCTCCATGATGCAGGATGCAATGTTCGTGGAAGAAAGCATAGATGGGGATGTTTGAACAACTGCGGTTTGGACATGTTTACAAGGGTGGGTGGTCCAAGCCCGTATGCCTATGCCTTGCGATGGATGTTCCGTTCTTCGGGGTTGGAGTGGGGACCAAAAGGAACACACAAATGATGACATATGTCCGCATCAAAATAGGGAATTGTTTGCATGATGCTCAAAGGGAAGCCCAAACAGCGACCTTGGAAAAAGACATGAGGCTGTCTCCAGGATGCGGAACCCATGTGTTGTTTCCCTTGCTCTTCAAAGCAAGCACGACATCTAAAAAGAGGAAACTCGCCCTATCCAACGAGTTTGTTTTGTTTGGTGTTTGCTGGGTTTTCCGGGAGTCCTTGTTCACCTGGCTCCAGAACGCTGCAACTGTTTTTGCACTCCCGGGATTCCGCTAGACTTCTTGTTCGGGGGTTGGCTGAGTCAAGCAAAGAAAGAAATAAACAAGCAAGCAAGCAAGAAAGCAAGCAAACAGCCAAACACACATGCCCCCCCTCCCCACAACGTTGAAGTTCATGTTGTTGGTTTGGCTCAGTCAAGAGAAGCATGCCCTCACTTGCTGTTAGCCAGTCGTCGGGCTATTACTGACCGACAGGCAACCAGGGAATGACTTTGACAATTGGAAAGTCGGGGCGGTTGGAAGATTGTGGTTGGTTTGTGGCCGTCTACGAGAAACAGGTTGTTTTTTTTCCGGGGTCATTTGGCAAAGCCCTGGTACCATAGTACCGTTGAAGTACATGTAGCGGCCAACGTGGGCTGCATGCAAACATCATGCAAACATGTATAACTGGACAGTTTACACTTCCAACAAACGCTTCTGGAGGCTGGAGGGTATCAAGATCAATGGGCCCAAGGGACCGAGCCGAGGCATCTTCGAGCGACGAGTCGCAGGCCTTTGACGCTTGCGATCGCTGCAAGGGTGCAGAAGGGAAATCAAACTGGGAAACCCGAAATCCGTTTCTTTCAGGAAATCTGTCCGAACCAGAGCTCCAGTGAGGCTTTTTGAGATTACCAATTAGTCATAATTAAATGGAACCCCCGCTTCCGTCCAGAGGTAGACTGCCCATTAAATGGGGAATCAACCTGTGGAAGAACAGAGGACTTCCATGTTGTCCCCACTGCCTTTGCCGTTTCTTTCGTTTGGCGAAAGATCACGAAAGAGTCCCCGAAAAGGGCACCACCCCCCTTTTCTGCCACACAAATCTGAGTTGGTTCTTCCAATTGTTTCTGTGTGCTGTGCTCTCTGGGCAGTGTTTGTTTGCTTTGTTTCCAGGTCGTGTTCTCTTTCAAAAGGGACCAGCTACTGCGCCACCTGGCAGGACTGGTTTCGCGCGCATATAAGTTGTGAAGTTGCATATTGCGTGGCAGGTGTAATTGTTTAGGTTTGTCGCAAAATGGAGGAACCCGCAAAATGGGTAGTTTTTAGTTTTTAGTGCCTCGAAAGCAAAACCAACGGTATACCCTCAACAAAAATGGGCGCTCCTACTTGGGTGTATGGTGCCGCTGCCATGCAACAAGTTCATGTTTCGGGCCGGGTCTAGGTCCCCCAGTAGTGCCCTTTTACCTCTTATTTGGGGGAGGGTTCCCCTATACTAAAATACACTACAGAAAAAAGGGTGCCCTTATTCTAACCTCTCCACTGCACTGGAGGACATAGTGGTGAGGGAACAGCATTCTGTTCTTTTCGTAATCGCTTGTCCGAGACCTCCAGCCGTGCTGCTATTGTTTTGCTTGTTGAGGGGCTCCCTTTGAAATCAATCAGACATAATCATACCAAATAGAGGCATTATCCTCATGGCCGCTGGTGGTTTGGGTTGTGACTTGTGGGAAACAATCATGGCACCAAGGATGCACCGCAGCACACGGCGGCGTCAGCGCTGTACTCCAGGTACATGTTTCGAACCTCCTGCCACGCAATATGCAACTGACCAACTTGTATGGCCGCCAAACCAGTCCGGCTTGGCGCAGTAGCTGGTCCCTTTTTTCAAAAGCGCGACCTGGAAACACAACAAACAAACACTGCTAAGCCCAGAGGGAGCAACACACAGAGACGATTGGAAGGCGTTTTGTGCAGAAAAGTGGGCCCGACCAGAAACAGGGCAGCAACAAAGGGGCCTCACGTCCCATGTATAGGTGACATGCTGAGAGGAACTCCGTCTTGGAACTCCCCGCATGAATCCCACCCCAAGACGGCTCTCAAGGCCTGCATTCGCGGAGATGGTTGCGAGGTTTGGGGATTTAGGCAAAATCGTGCCGCAAATTGGGGGCTTCGCTTTGCTCTCCTTCACGCCATCCAAAGGGGTCCCTATTTAGTTGTAGTTGAACCACTCAGAATTTACAGCTTTATGATCCTTCCCAGTGCATAGTTTTGACCAACGCGTGCTCATGACGACGTGTGTTTTCAACTCGCCACTGCGAGCTTTCAGAATTTCAGCCCGGTGCTTGCAAGTAATTACCGGGTACTTTTCAGCTTCTGCTCACACAAGAGTTGCTTCGGCCGTTTTTGATTCACGTGTCTCCGCAGGTGTGGTTTCTGGTTTGCGGCTGACTGGAAATCGGTAGACCAATGTCCACATAGGTCTTCCAGTTCCCGCATTCATTTCGCAAACCCTTCCCGAGCCTGTTGAAGTTTTGATGTGTCCTGATTTATGCTGCAACAGGCTCAAATGACAGAGCCGATTCAGTTGAATGCAGACCTTTGACTCATTTTCACATTTCGAATCGGCGTCGCACCTTTCAAAGTGCATTTGCATTCCAAGGCTTGGATTGACAGGTGAGAGGTGCAAGAAGCTTTGGCTGGCTTTCAGTGTAGATGCGGAACGGGATGGCCAAGCTTACCACAAAAGATCCAGTTTTGGAGGTGTCCATGAACCAGGAAGGATCAAAGATTTGTAGCAACTGGCCATTTAAAGCATATTGGGATATTGGGGCAACCCGTTTTCTATTTCCTTTTTTCTTTGCAGGGATCAATCAATGCAACTCAGTTCTTGCAACTTGAGTGCCATAGCCGTTGGAGCCCGAAGGTGGTCTTCCCCTTGGTGTGGCTGGTTTTTGTTGGTTTCCCTTGAAGCCAAAGGTACACGTCCCCGATGCATGGCAGGGCAGTCCTACACCGGCCAGCCTGAGTGCAGGGCCACCGAAGTGAAGGAATTCCGTTGCTAGGAGCCATATGGGTATGGGTCAAAATTCAACCAGGATATGGACCGCAGGTAGAAACGATGTTTCCATTTATTCCATTGTGTGGAGGGTTGCGAAATCCATTTCGCACCGTTCAGAAACCCTGGTGTCTGACTCGATTCCCCTGTAAATACCACCGAACAATGGCTTCAACCCTTGTTTCAAAGTGGTGCCGGATTTTGTCCATCCACAGTAGAATAGACATGTTGCACTGGAGCAAACAAACTCCGCACGAATCAACTGTGAGCCATCGTTTTTTTTGTTTTTTTTTTTCCTTTTTTTTTCAGATGCTTCAAGGAGCCCAGAAGCCCAAGGGGTGATACTTTTTCACCGAGTTCAAGTTCAATCCAAAAACCTTATGCCAGATGGTCCGTTTTGAGGAATAACGGTAACCTGGCATTGAGTGATGTTCAAGGTTCTGGAGCATGCAGTGATCAGAGTTTAGGGAGAAACAAGAATTACCCCTTGGGGAGTTCTGAAAACATAAACACGTTGTGGCGTTCCCTGGTATTTGTTTTTGTTGGACACGCACGTGGCGTGTGTTTCAGCGGATGTCCCTGACTAAGAATGAATACTCCCCTTTTTTATAGAGAGACTTGCACGTTTGTCTTAGTTTTAGCATGGGTATCACAGTGGTCGTTTCTATTTCTCTGAAACGCTGCTCCAATATGTTTCACCAAAGGATAATGCCTCCGCATCTCGGGGGCCACACACAACCTCCTCTCACATGGACCTCTGCAGCAAGTTCCAGATGAGCGCAGGTTGGTCAAGATAGGGAACCCCTATTCTGGGGTGGTTTCCTTCGGTTTCTCTTTCAACCAACCTCATACCCTCCCAACAACACCCACACACACACCCAGATGGACCCAGGTTTTCAATCCCTCCACCGTTTTTGTTCTTTTTACCTCCATGTTCAACAAAATCTCAGGGGCCGCGATTTGGCAGATTCAAATCTTTGTATATATGCTAGGTTTTCAGTAGTGCCCTTTTACCCTTTTTGTGGGGAGTTCCCTTTCTAAAACAGACTACGGAAAAGAAGCGTATCCTTATTCTGACCTCTCTACTGGAGGACCTAGTATAGCATGCTCCTTTGAGGAGTCCTAAAGACAGATCTTCAGTTCCATTGGCCGATTTTTGTCAGCTGGAGGCGAAGCGGAGAGCACGCGCTCCTCTCACAGTGGGGGGCTCAGACCAGCACCAGAGCCACAATCAAACCGATTCGGGTAGATGAAGGTTCGTAAGGGACAATCCCTACCATAAATAGCTGCGGAGATCCGCCTTCTTAATTCTTGAAGCATGGTTCTGGGTCGACCATTTCAATACCGGGTTTTGATTGCGACTGAGTTGTTCATTTTCCATCGTCCCGCTTCTTCCATCTTCCTTCATTTGTTCATGTGTCTCCTCCGCTTCTCCATGATTTCCCTTACCGAATTCCTGCGCGTGAATGTGACCTTTTGGGTCTGGACCATGTAAAGATAGCATCTTTGGTTGCTTTCTTTTGGCCAGTGCACTCAAGAAGTGAGACTGTCCCACGTTGTCAATTTGTTTGCCTTGGACCGAACCAACATGGTCAACTTGTGTCCTTTTTCCTTTGTTTCCTCACAGCACCCCATGTTTTCCCATTTTGTGCCTTTGACGAATTTGAACCATGTGAACTTGAACCCAGCCAATGGCAGGTGACACAAATGCACTCTTCTTCCGGGTAGGGGGCTTGTGTACATGACTGCTTCTGAGTTGCAAATTACACCCACTTCACCCACTTTGCGATACCTTGGGCGTTTGATCTGCCTAGTGGTGTTTATTTTCAGCATGCTTCCTGTCAGCCACCGCTGCAAGCAACCCATGGACTGCATTCAGCAGGACTTACCTCTAATTGTTACACAATGCTTTGTAGAATGGCAACACTAGGTAAGTCGGATATATATATATATATATATAATGCCGCGATACGCCCACGCAGTTCCAACTGCACCAAGAGCAACTAGGACCTAGGCACCCAAGACCCCGTCGCCATGATATACTCCACAAGATCAACCCGGAACTCAAAGAGCGGGGGGTCCCAAAAGAGCGGTTCCTATCAAATACCCTGGTCCTAGGTCACATGTCAATCTGCAGCGGCACACAAATTAGGTGTGTGCCAAATACACGGACCCCCCGAGAAAAAAAAGTATTCCTTTTAGTTTCCCTTTAAACCCGCACCTAAAAGAGTACCACACATCCCATCTTACGGATTTTAGGTGCTGGCGGTCTGGGCAATATGGCCGTGGTTCAAAACCAATGGTACCATTTTGGGATAGGTGCGCCACCCATTTTAGAACCGATTTTAGTGGTTGGATTGAATCGGATGTTCACTGGGAGATAACCGATTTGGCTTTTGACCCATGGCCATATAGCGAAGACCCCCAGCACCAAAGCTCGTAAAGATGGGATGTGTGGTGCTCTTTTGGGTTCTGGTTCAAAGGGAAACCAACAGAAAGACCATTTTGTGGGGGGGTGTTAGTCTTTGTTTGGGCTGGTGACCCACATCGGAGGACACCGGCTCCAGTTCCAGCAGCGCAGCGGAAACCGCGCCCAAGGCGGGACGGACACGGGTGGCAACCCAGACCGGTTGTCCCAGTGGGCATGTTTCTGTTTTCAGGTTTTTCTTGTGAGAGGGTGGGCCCCTCAAACATCAACAAAGATAGGGCGCTGTTTTATTGTTATTGTTATTAGTATATATTAGTATGCTTACTGGTTGTTGCTAGTTTATCATTATTATTGTTATAAGTCTTATTATTGTTTTGTTCAAGTTGCTCTCTTTGGCAACTTGTCTTCTTTTATCGTTGTTTCTCGGGGGCTCTAAACAATTACGCACATGATTCTCTGATCATGACTTTGGTTTATTGTCTGCCCCAAGCCTGTTCTAGTTGTTGGGCTCCTGCAAGGGTCTTGGAAGGGTTGGGTGAAGCAGTTTGGGGGGTCTTGTAAGAAATGGTGAGATGTTTCCCCTATTCGCCGCCGCTTTCGCGAGCAAGATGCATGATATCTGAACGAGCGAGGCATCAGCTCAAACGAAAACACATACTTTGGGTCCACATCCAAGAAGCGGAGTTCCCAGCTGGGAAATCTATCCATGACTTTATGTTAGGCTATTCCAAAGGCCCATGGGTAACGTGTGTGTGTGTGTGTGGGTGTGTCTGTGTGTCTCTCTGTGTGCTGTCAAAACTGGTCAGGCCCTTTTCAGAAAGTCACCTGGGTTCAACTGGTCCAAGTCCCCACAAGTTCCCTTGGTACCTTCTAAGGAGGTACTGAATGACCCCTTTTTGTTCCTAAAAGCCATCCTCATGAGGTACCAAGGGACCCTCTGGGAGTCTTTACACCTTGGAATTTACCCCGACAACGGCCAGGCGCGCTTTGCCGTTCCGGAACCAGTTGAAGTGCCGGCGGACCACGAGGCCATTCCCGTTGCGAAATCCGTTGGCCGCTGGTCACTTGGTGGCTCCCGGCCATCCCCTCAGCTTTTTTAGCCTTTTACTGTGTAGTGGCAGTTTCCAGTTGCCCACTAAAAGTCAAACTTTTACGGGGGGAATTGAGGGCAGCCCAGGTCAAAACATGGGGTGAGCAGCACATGTTCGAAGTCAGCTACATAGCTTGGAAGGTTTTCAAAGACTGAGGTCCCCTTTCCCCCTCGGGTTTCACAAAGGAAGCGTTCTGGAATACAGGCCTTGGTGCTACCTTGGAAAATTACGCGGACAGATTCCGCGTTTTTGATGTGGTAAGCTTGCAGAAATTGAGTTTCTACTTTCCCAAATTGCAGGATCGCCGCAAAAGATGACCGAAAGGGAGGTTAAGGCAACTCGAGGGGACCTGGACCCGGAACCTACAAGTGGGCCTGCTTAATGATGCTTTAGAACGCGTTCTCGTGGAGTGAATGCCCCTGCGGACAAGCAGTGACCAAGGGATGATGCGCAAGAGCGCAAGTCTGCTGGGTACAGCTATCAAACCTGATGCGGTTTGTGTAATGACACTTGTTCGCTTTAGCACACGTTTTGCTTTAGCAGGTATGCCGGTATGCCTGTATGCCACTGTTCTTGGAATGTGCTTTGACATGTTGCATTTCAAGGTTCACAACATACGGACAAAATTCAGCTCATGGTTTCAAAGATTGGGTGCAAAAGCTGAAATAGGTTTTGCCTGAGATTGGGCATGTGATCCGTCTGCGGACAATCTAGAGAGGAAGCGGCAGTTGCATGTTCTTACCCTTTTTTCCACTAACACGACACCTGACAGATTGAGCAGGTACCCTCCCACAGGTGCTATGTTTGTGGGAGGAAGGCTACTTTTTGAGATGGCCAATTGTTGGCAAACAGTTTAGACGGTTCCGATCCACTCAGGTGATACTACCTTACTTCATCTCAGAGAGTTTCCACAATCCCCCCCCAAAACAAAAGAAATTCAAATCAGCAAACAACACTGGTCTCAAAAGAAGCTTATTGGTATGCAGCCGCGATACTAAATGGCAGCTAAATAGCAGGAAACAATTGGACGGACACCCAAGGGAATGTTGTTTTCCCAGCCCGGCTGGCTAGTGGCCTGACCCCTCTTGTCTTGAAGCTCAATGATTGGGCACCGGCAAACTCGCAGTTCGTTTTTTTTTTTTAGCGAGACCACTCCCTGCACCCACCGTTGGGTCCCCATAAAAGCAGGCTGGTCGGACTGCTTGATGCTGGGTCACGATACTGCGCGATTTTTTGGAGGAATCTCCTTTCAGAAAACAGACAGGGCCCTTTTTCTGAATTGTTCCGTGTCGAAAATACACATTGTCAGACTTAAAGCACCTTTTATCCCCTTTGCCCCTGGGCCTTCATGTTCCCAGCGCAAACAGTTCGCTGCTTCATATTCAAAGATTGACCAAAGGGTGGCAAATATGTGAGTGTTGATCCCATATTAATCAACCCCAGTTCATAAATAGGGGAGTGCTTCTCCCTGGGTTTAGTGTCGAATCAGACCACATTTGGAGTCAACAATACCAAGGTCTGGCGGAAATTAGGCCAAAGCGGGTTGAGTGCCACGCACAGGCAAGCCAAGAGCCGCCAATGACGGCCCGAAGCCAAGTGACCAAAAGGGCCAGCCCCGGTGCTGGCTCTTGCGGGTGTCTCAAATCACTCCCAGGAAAGGGGAGTATGGAGATAGGAAGAATTCCACTGCTATGTCCTTTGTACCCATCGAGCACCGACTCTCCGGCTATTTGGGTTGAGAGGCCTGCGAGGTGAACTGTTGGTCAACCGTACACCTGTGACATGCATGTTACAGCCAGCAGTGCCGGAACTCCGCGGTTCATATTCCTTTGCCAAGTGACGTTTGATAGGTCCCATGAGAGTGTGCGTTGTATTTGATGTTGTCCCGAGCTTGCACTGCTTAACCTGATTGCTCCGAAGACATTTGGGCGTACCATTGTTAGCACAACTCATCTTGGCTCGTGCACATTTGTCCCGATTTGTTTGACTTCCATATGTTAGTTTTTCCCGTTGGTTTTAAAGGCAATCTATCACTACTGGAAGCATTGTTGTTTTTCCTGGGGCCTGAAGCAAATGGAGGTTGAGCCGTTGCTTCACTCACTCTCTGGCAAGCACAAGTTGAGCCCTTCCTCTGCCAGATTCCATCATGCACGCTAGCGGATGTGCCAATTCCATTCTTATTGGCTGGTAGTTTGCACTCTCACGGCGAGGCTCCGCACCGCGGTGTGGGGAGTTTGGCAACGAAGCAGCTGTTTCATGGAACCAAAGGGTCTAAGTACCTTTCGAGGATGGTGTTTGAGGGGGTTTAAAGGGACCAATGTACCTTCTTTGAAGGTATTTGGACTCTCAGTGGGAGTTGGGGCTTCTCAAGTCAAAGCTACATTATGGCATGTTTCAGACAACACCTTCTTACAAGTATGTTAGCTGCTGTTTTGTACTCATGATGTTTGGATGATTCTTGGTTTCTTCCGGAACCCTGTTGATTGAATACTAAGATGACGAGTGATTGAAACATACTTACATACTGGTCTCGGTATTTTGCATCCTCTACCCTGCAAACAGGGAAGTGCACAGGGCTTTCCAAGAATAAGTAGTCGTCCTTCAAGGGCGCACACCACTTTCATGCTTGACGGGGTAACTATCCAGGTTTGAGTCGCTACACATGGCTGACGCCCACGTTGTTCATGGGCAAGTTGTGTCTTTTTCAGCTGAAGCTTGCATTGACAAAGAAAAGAACCCTTCCCAGAAACATGTGGCCGGGCTTGACTTGGTCTTAGGGTGCCTAGAAGTGTGCAACTTTGGGCGAAACGATTGTGAAACCCAGCCTGCAACAGGTTGGTTTCCAGCTTTCGATTCTTTCTGAAAGCTGGCAGCGCCCAGGCAGCTCAAAGCGTGCCCATGACGGCCCGGCGCTCGGCAAGCAAGCGTTGAGTGTTTTCGCCGCTGAAGGGATTCAACTCAGAGGGATTTGCAGTGACGTCAGGGGAAATGAAGGGAATCCGGGAATCGAAATGCGCGGAGATCTTTGAAGCCGACATTGCTTCAGGAAGGCGTGCGACTCTTTGCTCCGAGAGCCTGACTCATGACATGTCTAATTCTGGATTTACGTGCGTGTGTGTGTCCATGTGTGTCAACGAACCTTCGAAGCGTCGACAATATTTTGCAATGAAGAAGTGTGGCTTTCTCTAGCACGCCAGTGGAGTACTGAGCACACCATCAAAGAACAACCGGAGCAAGCAATCAGATCGGAACCTTTACAATGTTGTCCGCCTTCCTCCGCAAGGGGATCGTGATCGTTGTAGCAACCGCAAGTAAATGTTTTCTTGCAGGCTGTAAGATGAGTCAGCGAGATGCTGGCGCAAACTCTGTACATGTGCTTCGCTTATTCCAAGCACACGTCCCGACGATGATTTGGGGCATCACAGTGGTCAGAATGTTTAGTTTGCCAGCGCAGCACTTTGTTCTTCTGATTTCTGTGCATGCTCGTATAGAGAGTTGTTTTCCCAGGCGAAATCAAAGAATAACCAAAAGGAATGCCACCATTTGTAGGAGCCCCCATTTCAACATGTGTTTATGCAAAGGGCTGTTTCTCAAGCTTCAGACTTCCGGTGATGAAATGACCTTTCTTTTTCTCGGGTGTTTGCCATTGGTTGCTGGTGATGTTTTGTGTTTGTTAGTTTGTTAGTTTGTTAGTTTGTTAGTTAGTTTGTTAGTTTGTTTGTTTGTTTGTTTGTTTTTGATTTGTTTGTTTGTTTTGTTTTGTTTTGTTTTGTTTGGTTGTTTGCTTGTTTGTTTGGTTTGTTTGTTTGTTTGCTTGTCTTTGAATCAGTGAAGGTAGGGCAGTCTTCAGACTTCAGACGATACGTCTTTCAAGGTACGGAAGGAGAAGGTCAGGCGGAGGTAACTATTAGAAAGCCCTTTCAACAGATACGACCACCAGATATGTCGGGTGCTTCGCCCATTTTGAGAGAAGCACAAACCAATTCTTCGGGTTTTTTGCAGCCGTCTTTTTGTCACCGTGGCACCTGAGGTACTGGGTGTTTGTTCAAAGGTTGTGTTTTGTTGAGTTCCCTAGGAAAACAACTGGGGCTACCTTTCTGTGAGGGTATGTTCCCTAAAGCAAAACAATTCCAACTTGTTGTGAGGGTGTGTTCCCTAAAGCAAAACACACCCAGCTGCTGGATGTTCCCTAAAGCAATACACGCCCAACTGGGGCTGGCTGTTTCTTTTGGCTTTGACCCAATCCCATCAGGCAGCTTCCACGGATTTCAGCATTCTCTCGGACGCATCACAGGCCTGGAGTTCAGTCGTACCCTGTGACCGGTGCGCATATTTGTGGTTGTGTGTGTGTGTTTTTGTTTGAGGGCACCGCCCTTTTTGCTTTGGGCTAGGTCTTTGCCAAGACTTATTTTGCAAAACCTATCAATCCTAGCCAGAGTTGAAGTGCTTCCTGCAAATATTTGCTGATTGTCTGGTACCCTTCCCAGAGCATCGCCAAATCCTGTTGGTTCATTTGAGATGGCCCCCCTTTATATTTCTGAATCGATTTCATTCCATCTCAACAACAGCGCCAGACTTCTTCAACTTCTCGGTGCGCAAGCGTTTGTGGGGCACAACGCTTATTAATGGGGTCTTGTGCACAATCCAAATGTCATGTTGTTACATTTAGTTTGGCACACAAACTCAAGGAGTGTATTTATACTCTGTTGGCCGGTGGTGCCTTTCTATTCCGTTTTTGTTTTGGTAAGGGTTTCCCTGTTAAATTCAACCAACAAAGAAGGCCCTTTTTTCCCCATGGCCACTGGCCATTTGAGTATACATACATATCATAAATGTTGAAATCGTCATCCACGACTTGGAAATAGACAGACATAACGTTATGTATTGCTATCGTGAGAGATCAGCTGCGCGAATTTAGGACGCACATGCTATTACAGTGACAATCTGAATACAATCTGATATTTGCTAAGCTATGGCTCATAAATGGCACGTTTGCGATTAACTAAATCTAAATCATTGGTATGCATGCAGTTGTTGATTCGATCAAGATTGTATCTACAAGTCACAATTCGTATGTTGACCCCCAGAGTACCAATGTTCTGAAAGAGTCAGCTGTCTTTATGTTCATCAAGCTTCATGGGTCTTGACTCCACGGGTCGACGACAACACCTCAGCTCTGAGAGGTGCCCAGCTGAACGCGCTTTTTCGATGGGGGATTTGAACCCCAAACCACCAATCGAGCGACTAATGAAGGGGAAGCCGACATTCAGTGGTTGGTGTGACAGGTCAACACAGGGCTGTGGGAAATTGAATCCACTTCTGTGATACAAAAAAAAGGTTTCCCAAAGACTAACCCCCAATATAAAGGGGGAGATTCCCTTGTATCACAGAAGTGGGGAAAAACCCTTGATCCCACAACCCTGGGTCAACATGTTTAGTGACTGGTTTTCTTGTTTGTTTGCGCGAACTTTGCTAGATTGCACATTGGCTCGCAGATCTTGACAACTGTAGCGATGCCTAGGGTCTCTGCGGATTTGTGGTGACAGGTTGATGTTGCTTGCAACTTCGTGGTCAATATGTCGCGATTATTTGAGATCCTTTTGCTCGCCGATTGTGTTGCGCATGTTGGCAACCTAGTGTAGCGGTGCCATATGATTCTAACTTGGCATTGCATGCTTAACACGCTTGCAACTTCGTTCGGATCCCGGCTCAGGTGAGACACACGCCCACCCCGCCGACGATACACATCCAGGGGCCGCAGGTGAAGGGGGCTGTGGGCCTACGAGAGATATCCCTGGGGGTGCTGTTGTGACTTGGTGGTTCAGAGGTTGGGCTTCAAAAGAAAACCATACAAACAGCAAACACCACTCACCACCATTCTATAAGATGCGGCGCACTCCATCCATGTTGGTGTGCCCTCAACATGGTCTCTGTTGGAATCATCTAACCAAATATCAGGAAAAGGATGTCTAAGACTCGAACAACATCAGCGGACTCCCTCAAATTACACCTGACAGTTGCTCCCGGTTTCGTTCATTGGCGCAGACCAAATCTGTTTGGGAGGACCTGCAAGCAGTGACCAGATGAGATGTTCTGCATGTGCTAAAATGTTTGCAAGTGTTCCAAAATAGCAGCGACTCAAATATGGGACAAGTACCCGCAGTTGGTTTAGTTGGAAACCATGATCAGAATCGGTTTTTTCCCCGACAGCCGAAAGCCCGGATGGGCTCCGCAAGGCAGCTCTGAGGCAAGGTTTTGCAGGGTTCCGCGAGGGTTCCGCGAGGGTTCCGCAAGGCGGCTCTCATTCTTGATACGGACTCTGTTTCTTCTGCTGCTTCGTTGTCAGTTAAACGCATCGTCACCTTTGAGCTATCACACACTTCGCGCCCCATACGCTGAACAGGATCGATCCCTTGCGAGCGGTGTGTCTTCGTACCTTCCGCATTTGCAGAACCCATACGGGTGCGCTGTTGGGGACATCACCTGAGATTCTGCTTTGTTTTTCTGGTCCTTAGGCCCCAGATTATCGCTGGCCGCGGCTTGCTACGCTTGTTCCAGTCACATGCGCCCCAGGGTCAATACATGTAAATATATACCCCTCCTTGGATGAATTGTCAAATTAGTGTCTCGTCGCGCAAGAATGCGCAAGGGCGAGCGCAAGGTTGAGCTCAAGGTCAGCATTCACCTCAAACATGTGTTGCGCAATTTGGCAAGGAGTTTTGCACGAAAGTAGTAAGCATGTTTTGGGCGCTTAAAAGCATTGTTTTTTTCCGATTTATTCATGTAGTTCCGGCCACAAGGGGCAGGAACAAAAACAAATGAGTGGCGCTTTTTATTTCCGCTCAAGCAAACATGTATAAATGTTGACATATGAACAAAAAAGGGTAGCGCCGCACTGCCGCCGCGGAAGGTTCGCGGAAGGTTTGCGGAAGGTGTTTTTCAGGCGGAAGCTCGCGGAAGAGACCTTGTTGATTTGCACATTCTCGTGGTAGTTTTATTTCGGTTGGGTGCTTGTTGCCAAGCACGTTTACTAGGACACCGTGCACACGAATTCCCTCGCGGAAGCTACCTTCCTCAGTTTCCAGAAGCAACTTGCCTGCAGAAGGCCCGCGGAAGCACTTCTACAAACCTTTACAGAAACATGCTCGCGGAAGGTACCCTTCGCACCGCGGAAGCTTTCGCGCAAGGGTTTGATACGTCAATGCAAATTTAAAGGGAATAAAAACCGCCACTCAAATGTTTGGGAGCCGGACGTCGTTGTTTTGTTCCAGGCACCTTGATAGGTCTCTTTTGTTCATGTTTTTTTCTCAATCCAAGCATGTTTTTTGGTTTTGTTTCTGCACCGGCAAGGACCACCGGTTTGTACAGACTTTTGAACAAAGCACCAGAACCGTTTTGTTTTTTTTCGTTTTTTTGGTTTTTTTGTTTGTTTTTAATGTGACTTTTCCCAGCGCAGGAGACACCGGAGGCTGCGCCCGCAAGATTCAACAAGGCCCTCATCACAGCCGGGTCCCTAGTTCAAGTCGTGGTTTTATGGTTGCGGAAAGCCCGCTTAAAAAACCCGTCGCAGGGATGGCCCAGTTGGACGCAGGGAGTAGTTCCCATGGCCAGACTGGTTGGATTCCCTTTCCTGTTGTGAACCCCTGGCCCATCACTACGGCGCCATCAAGGCCATTTCACGCTGCATTGCTAGATTAGTTTATTTTTCCTTTCTAGCCTTTTGCCCGTTTGGTGATCCTTCCTTCCTTCATTTTTTGTTCAACAAGCAAACAGTCAACTATGTTTCCGCACGTGGCGATTGAGAGAGCAAACAGTCAACTTGTTGCAGAGGGTTCATGTCAATTTGAAGGAAACTCCTGATTGATAGTTTGGACAAGCATGAATCTCGGGTCAACGTAATCGGACCATAGTCGGACAAGCAAATGTCTTTTAGGATACCAGTTGTCGTCTTGAAAGCGGGATGGCCCATGATGGCCCGCTTTGTTGCGGACATGAGTCTTTCCTCAAACAACCACATCCACCACGATTGCGCAACAGAAGACCGTGGCCGTCGCATCATCGCAACAGTTGGCATGGAAAGCCCGTGCGAGCTCAGTAAGTGGCGCCCGCCAAAATGGGCGGTTTTTCTTTGGTGTGCCTTTACAATCCCAAATTGAGTTCAGACAGGACCCCCCAAGGGGCCACACCCTTTGTCCGATGCTTATCTAAAAAAAAACAAGATTCGCGTTTTGGGCGGCTTGCCCTTTCCAGAATGGCCCGGGCACCGTAAAGACTCTGGGCATGTTTGGTCGGTTTCCAGTTGATTCCGGAAAACGCAAACCCTAAGGCTTCAGCTGGACATTCGACTTAGCCCAAACCTTGGTTGTAACATGCTGCGACCGATGGTTTTTCCTTTTTCTGGTCCAATTCGGAAGATCCACGACATTTCAACAAGTGAAAGCCCAAAGATCCAGCCAAAGAGCCAGAAAGAAGCCCCGACATTTGCAGCTGGTGTTTGTCCTTACAGAATCTCCTTTGGTTTCGCAGATTTTTTTCTGTCTTTGGGCCGGGGGTTACCGGGGGTTGCGATGTGTGCCCCGGGTGAAAGAGATGACGGTTGTTTTTCACTTCCATGTTGGAGGCACGGCAAACAATCAAGTTCTTAGTGGTTGCCGAGCGGGATTCCTGGAAAGAGCGAGTGACGACTTTGTGGAATGTCCTGGGCAGAGCGAAGCTTCTTGTTCAAGAGATACTTGGACATAGCAAGCAACCAGTTGGAGAAAGCTCCTTTTGCTGGGAATGAGAGAACAACCCCAAGCATTGTGGATTCCCTTGCCCAGGTTCATTCCCAGCCCCCCAACAACCCCCCCCCCCGGTTCTCACCGGCGCATGCGAAAGTTCCAAATTTCCGGACGCCAAAAATTTGGACAGCTCAGGACAGTTCTGAGGAAGAGGCCAGCCACGCCTGAGGGAACTGGCTAGCATTGGATTCTAGCTCCCCCAGTAGTGGCCTTTCTCACCCCTTTTTTGGTTGGGAGGGTTCGGGACCCTACTAGAAGAGACTACAGGAAGAGGGTACCAACTTATTCTAACCTCTCTGCAAGACCTAGCGAAACGAGGTGAAACGAGGCGACCACCAAATCGCAAGTAGGGTTCCAATGCAGCCGGGAGAACGACCGCTTGTCTTTGATGGGGTGGGGATGCTGCAGGTCTTGTTTTCTGTCCCCAAAGGCGAATTTCCCCGAAATGTAGCCTTTGGGTACTACCCCGAAAGATGTGCCTGATTGTGCCTGGTTTAGAGTCTTACCTCTTAAAAAACACAGCTTTTCAACTTTTGGGGGTAACATGGGCTATATGTCTGTAAAAGGTTAACTTCCCCACTTGGAGTTTTAAGGGGTAAGGAGTTATCGCGACGCGTTGGTTGCACAATTTCGAGTTAGTTGCATTCATGTGGGGGTTTCCCAGCCGATGTGGTCTGTTTAGCAGCCTTTCGCGACCTCAAGGAGCCCTCGTTCCAGCATCGAGTCTGGGTCTGTTAGGCCCTTTGGTTTTGCATGCCGTTTCATGTTTGAGTGGCTTTTCCCTTTGTCCTCCTGGCGGTCCCCGCAAGACACGAACAAGTAGAACCTTTCCGCAGATGTTTTAAAAGCCGCCCTGGTCCCGACAGGGAGAGGCACAAAGCATTGAGCACCAACAACGCATATAGAAGCGGACTGCCGCATTTGGGCCATCTGCAAGTTGAGGTTCACGATGTATGGAATAGAATGCCCGAGAATGCCACATATAATTGTGTGTGTGTGTGTTTCGAAAGAACTAAGAAGGCGGATCCCCCAACTTGCGATTCCTTTTGTTTTGCCTCCAGTCAACCTACGTGTCATCTTTGTAGAGAGGGTACGCGCTACACAAAACGGCCGCTGACTCCGTATGCTAGATGGTAGTGTTTGTCTTGCAGCTGCGTGTCCCACTTCAGATCAATGAAAAGAATGTGAAATTCCTGCATGTTGGTTCAACATATTATAAATTATGTTCCATCAACATTACATTGATCAACAACTCAACAAACCCAAGTACTTCAGATGGGGAAGTTTTGGGCAGCTTTGAGATTCTTCCATGTGCTTAAGACTATTTAGTTGTTTTGTTCCCTGTTGGCGTCAAGGCAATCTATCACTACTGGACACGTGTTTTCATGTCTCTAGGGGACAAGAACCCAAATGGAAGCTTTGGTGCATTTTGCTTGGATGTTAGGACTTTAACTTTTGGCCAACTAACGGGTTTTCCGTATTCAACCACTAAAAAGTTAGTCACTTTTAGCAGGGCAGCAGATTCGCAACCGAGGAAGGATCGTTTTGCTTTCCCTTCAAGGAAACCACCAGTGGGATGGTTTATATGTGGGTCATTCCAGGGAATGCGGTTGAATGAACTGGTTTTGGGGATCGCGATAGGATTGGGAGCACCCCAAGCGTTTCTTTGCCGTCTCTCTTCGCCGATCATTTCCAGGCCGCGCTCAGTGCGCCGCAGGAGCCGCAGGCGCGAGCGAGAAGATGCGCGGTTGAAGCTTCCAGTGCTGGAACCTGACACACCGCCTTTGGAGGATCTCTCCTTTGGGGCGGTGTGTTAAATGTTTGGAAGTTGATCGGGAAAATCAGCGTAAATATGGTTGCCTGCCATGTGTGGGCGCTGGACTCTTTGGGACGCCCAAGATGTTGCTTGCACCACCGAAACAGATCTACCAGCCCCCTCAGGAACCTACCTATCTCAAACCCAGTAGCGGGTTGAATCTAAGACGGGTCCCATGGCTGTCGCGGTTGGGCAACAAGGGCAACAAGGCTGAATGTATGAAGTCATTGTGGATATGTTGGGCTGAGATTCCTTGTGATTTTAGTTTCCCTTCAATCCCCAAGAATGGTACCACCAACAATGACACACATAATATATATATATATACATATATATATATATATATATGTATATATACTACATATATATATATATGTATATATATATATATTTACGTGTATATATATGTACACATATATATATACATATATATATATATATATATTATACGGGTGTGTCTTTTTCGAGGGTACCCCCTTTTTTGAGATGCTAACAGGGAAGCCAAAAGGAAAGTCACCAAGTTAGTGGATCCCCTAAAACACGACACGCCCATATACCTTGACCCTCAATCTAGGGTTGCAATAGCTTATTTTAAAGGGAATTTTGAGGGTCCGGGTATAGGCATGTATATGTATGTACATATATATATATATATATGTATAGACACGCTGGGGTTCAACCCCTCCATTGAAAGAATGACAAGGACCCAGTTTGGATGATGACAATCCTGAATGGTGGTTCTATGAACCCAACCAGGTTTAGTGCTGGTAACTGAACCCCAGCGCAAATATTTCGTGTATATGTACATATATACATGTATACATCTATATGTATGTATATATATATATATGTGCATAGTATGTTGGGGTGTTTTGAGGGAGAGCTTCAAGACTTCTCCATTCCCAGGCGGAGACGCCAGGCGAGCGGACGGCGGGAAGTCCCCGCGCCGCCGATTTTTTTGCCTGTGAAACCGCAGAAGGGGCCTTCATCAAGAAATGCTCGGTGTTCAAAAGATCATCTCTTCGGGCATGTTGTGAGTTTCCTGTTTCTGGGCTATTTTGTTCGGCAGTTTGCAAGATCCTGACCTTACGCAGGAAACCAGTTTGCTTTGTCGCTTCCAAAAGGGCTTGGTCAGGATGGGCCAACACGAAGCATTTGAACAGGCCAGTGGTCATGCATGTTGTCTTTGGATGGTGAGGTCTTCTTTGGCCTCAGGGAAAGAAGCCGTCGGGGCTGCTCTTACGGGACATGGGCACTTTGTCAGAAACCAACTTGGGAGGACGAGGAATGCCAGGCAACCATACGAGGCACTGTTAAACTACTTTCCGCAAGAAGACATTGGTCAATTATTGAGTCCCCTGGTTTTGGCAGGGCATTGAGTGATTCCCCCAAACCCCAAATACTGAAAGGGGGTCAACTACGTCAAACAGCTTGAAGCGGCCAGAATTTCCCTGCGGGCCTTCATTTGCATCTGAAGAGCGAGCTTACGCATGTCTTAAGACGCCAGTATTTAAGTATCTGTCAAAATCGGGGGCCCAAGAGATGGTGGTTTAGCCCAAGCGTATCTTGCTTTGCAAACACCACGCACTGTTCAGAAGTAACATTATTGACCTGAAAGAAAGAGGCAAACTGCTTGGTTGGGTCCTGTGTTATCCATTTTGAACTAGGGAACCAACCAAACATAATTTTTAGGGTGTCACTGAACAAGTGGGACATTCCAGCGAAATGTCAATCTACATTGTGCGTCTCTTGTGGGCAGGTGCCGGAAGGGCTGGGCCCTAACAAACCCAAGCTTGGTTTACCGCATTTCATGGTTCAAATGTGGTTGGCCTGAGTGCTCCCCGCGACCCTAACGAGAAGCACCTAGAGGTGGTTGCCCTCCTTTGGTGGCTGAAAGCCGCCCTGGTTGCTGCGCATGGCTGGATACGTTGCGCCCTTGTCGCGCCTTTCATGGGGGGTCCTTACAGCGTCTCATGTCTCCAAATCAGGGGTTAATTGGGGTTCCCAGTTAAGCAACCCCAACAAGGGCAACAGAGTGGCAGAGTGACAGGAGAGACGCTGATGCGTTCAGCTCTGGAAGTTCATGGTAGATCATAAGATGTTTCCTTGGGTTGAACAATTGCTCTCGGGCTGAGTTCTGATACCGCTTAGGCACATAAGTTCATGCACGTGTACTCCATCTGGACATTGGCAGGAGCTGGCGCTCGCTTCAGTTTCGACCTGACCAACATGGGGGACATGGAGAAGCAGATCAGCTTCCAATCTCCGGAGGACGGGCGCGATGGTCATGCAACCCCTCCTGTTTTTCCCTTTGAAGGAAACAAGACCCTATGAATTAATACGCCCCTGGTTCATTGCTCCGTTTGCGCTTGTCACAACTTGAGCCT